CAACCTGTGGGGAAAGGGAGTGAGGAAGGCTGTCCAGGGGAGCTGGAGGCTTTCTGCAGGATGTTTGGATTGAGTGAAAGGACAGAGGAGTGAATATGAGACATGCTGTGGAAGCAGGATGTGGGATAGAGAAAATGTTTATACAGTCAAACTCAGGCTAATCCATGGGAAGCTTCAGAGACCATAAAAGCCATCTGCAAGTGGATAGATCACATTCTGGAGGAAAACAGTGGTTTAAAACAGCACTACACTCTTTGATCTACCCTGAAGAGATCACACCTGTGAGCCTGAAGACAAGACTAGGATAAGCAGATCCATGAGTTTGGCCCATACAGTGAGGGCTGATAGAAAAGGCCATTTATGGTCTCTTCCTGTGCAGGAACTTGGGGCCACCAAACAAAACCACCAGGAGCCAGACATGGAGCAAACAAAAGGAAGCTGGTCCCTCTCCTCCCCACAGGAGGGAATGGCTGTTACAGATTCACTGAACAATTCCACGGAAAACAAAGTTACTGAAATCTCCTTTCCAGAGAACACTCATTAGCAGGGGCAGTGAACTGACCTCTAGCTCAGAATCTGCACCCCTCAAAAATGACATGAGCCTGGGTGGCCCCTGGTCTGATGCCTGGCAGCAGGGCTCCTGCAAGCAGATGTCAGTGGAAAACCGTTCTCAAGAAACCTTTTTACAAGCAGCAGGAGGAATAACCACTGTCCTTTAACCAGCTGCCCTCTGTCATCTTGAAAAGCCTCAGTTTACCTTCAGACTTGGTCAAATTAGGCATTTGGCCTGCTCTCCCTGCACAAGGGCAAGAAAAATTATCTAAAAGGTCCTGAAATAATGTGGCCTTTCATCATTTAAACACTTTTTTCCCCATTAAGCAATGAAAGCAGCAGAGATGCTATTCTCAAAAGTACCTCAAAACAATTATCTTCTTCCTCTGGAATAAATGGTGAGAAGCAAGAGGTGAGCTGGAGATATGACATTTGCAATTCTCCATTTTCCATCTGCAGTAGGAAGAAATGTTGATTTGCATTGTGCTCTGACACAACTGCTTGACCTCAGTGCAGCTTATGCTAATTACTTGCAAGAAAATGCTTACTTGCTCTGTGCGTGCCCAGCATATTTCTGGTATCTGAGCCTGAAAAATGAAATATTGCTTGTAGCACAGTGCAGATGGGGATGGCTGAACCAATGGCTGGTTGGCCAAGTAATCCAAGCAAACAAACATTGTGATTAAAAGAGGGCCTGAGAAGTTTCCCATTAATATCACCTGGCTGGTTTTATACCAAAAACTCACTCCCTTTCTGCTTAATGTGCTGTAATCACTCAGGCTGTCACAGAAAATGGAGAGAGAGGATCCATCTCTTTGCCCAAAGCAAGGACAACTCACCTTTCCTTGCTCATCTAACTTGGCCTAAAAGGAAATCTCTCCTGGTCTCGGTAGCTTTATAATGTTTAAGTTTTCCCACTATCTTTGGGTGCATTTGTAGCTGTACACATCTCCCACCTCTGGGTATGCTTAGAGGGCATATATTTCAATTAAACATGCTCATCCATGAAGAAGCTGGATTCCTGCTGCTGTTTTTCAAGAGATGCATCGATCTGGCCCTAGGATTTATCTGTACATGCACTGGCATTAGAATGTTTTGTGTGTGTTGTCTGTTCTGGTCGCTCCTCCAAGGAGCTGGGAACAGAACCTGGCTCACTTTGCCTGGCTGGGACACAGACCTGAAGGATCAAAAGTGTTGATCAGCTTGTCTCCATCCCACTGACACAATCTCCCCAAGATCCATTCTGTGTTGCACTCAAAAAACGGTACCTTGAGACTGGCTTTATTGCACTGTGCTCAAAACTCAATTTTGAGAAAAAGGGGAAGAAGCAGGATGAACAGCTGAGTGGCAGGAGCTGCAATTTCTTCTGCACCATCAGGAGAAATGGGAACATTTTCTCTTCTCAACCTGCAGAATCCATCCCAGAGAAGCCATCCCTTCTTTGCACAGATGTTCTGTAAGCATAAAGCTCTTGTTATTCAGTGCACAGGCCTCCAGTTACAGCAGAGCATTTCTGATCCTGCTAAAGTTCTACATAAGCACACAAGACATGCTGAGGAACGGGCTTAGGTTTAAACGTGTATTTAATATTAAATGAAGGCTTAAGAGCTTTTCTGCCAGGAGCAGGGAAGATGTTTTGTTTGCAGTGTGCCTTGTCCTGTGTGGGAAGACATTGCTTGTCTGCTGCTGAGCTCCAAAGAGCCTTTCTGCCATTCCAGGAGACTGATTTGAAGCAACTGACACCAGGATCTAGGACCTTGTGGCAGGCTTTTTTTTTTTTTTTTTCATAGTACAGATCTTTTCTCTCTGAAGTCTGGCACCTGAAATACCAATAAGCAATCTCCAGCCTTACCCGAGGGGACTGGTTTTTGTTGGGCACCCAGCATTTCTGACAGAAACAAGCATCAATCCCTGCACCTCAGCATCTCCTCTTGCTCTGTACACTGAAGCCTGGCAGGGGGCTGGGGTCTGCCAGGGGGGAACTGGCCTTTTAATGGGTTCAAACACCCTGGCTGCTTCCCCCTGGCCATATGTTGAAGATAACCACAGCAAAGCGTCTCTGAACATCCAGATGTTTTGTTTCTCCAGGCTTTGTGGAGCCCTGTCTGCAGGGTGGGACCGGGGCAGGCAGAGGGGAAATCAGGAGGAAATCAAATTACTGTCAATAACCACGGAGAGTTTCTCCCTCAAGGGATTCACAGGCAGCTGAGAGAAGAAATGGGTGGAAAACTGAGCGATGACCTTGTCCTTCAATCTGAGCATGGAATCAAAGCCTTGCAGAAGATGGAGTGGTTCTGTCATTGATTTCCATTTGTTTTTCCATCCTTCCTTCCTCTGTCAGATAATGATCTCTTGTATGATTTGTAGGAGGAAGCAATCCCCTCCAAATCCTCTGCAGAGAAATTGACAGCAGCCCCCAAAAGTTCATGTACAAGAGAACTACGTGCCCTTTTCATAGCTTTTCTTACTTGTTCAACCTTTCAGAGACTGGAGTAAGACCATAACTGCTGGAGATTGGCCACAGGAAATCTATCCAAATTATGTCCAAACTGCCCTTGGGACAGCACTGCAGCTGCCTGAGGAAGGAGAGTATGTTCAAACACAACCCTCAGACCAGGCTGTAACTTCCTTCACATCTCGGAAGGTTCACAGACCCTCATAAAACCCACCTCATCCTACTGACCTCGGGAGGCTCTGCCGTGTCCTGCAGCTCCCGGTTTGTCCATGCAGGACATCTGTGGGATGCGGTCGCCCTCTAAAGGAAAGAGTCGAGAAAATGCGATAAATTCCCACCCAGGCAAAGTTGTGGAGAATTAGGAAAGCGTGGGCATGGGCGAGGCGGTGACTATCCCTCTTCACCCAGAGTCTTTGTTCTGACTCCAAGACATCCTTGGAAACATTATCCGTGCACTGCAAACATGAACTATTACATCCAATTGGCTGCACGCTTAGCTCATGCTGTTCTTTAACATTTTAATGTTAAAAGGTTTTAATTGTTGAGTCCATTCATTACTTGGTACCTGGAAGAGCTTCTCCCTTTTATAGGTACACATGGGCTCTGTGGCTTCCACCCAAAAATCAAGACAGTGGCAAATCCCTCAGCACATCCAAGTTACATCTTCTCTTCTTCCAGGATCTGAACTCTGCTTAAGGAGAATTTTAGTTGTTTTATTTTTTAAAATTTGCCTCCCTTGGGACCTTGAAGGGCTAATTCTAGTTGAATTAGATGGGTTACATTTGCTTATTTAAGAAGCTAAAATCAGCCAGGCAGATCACCAGCCAAATCTTCATGGAGCAAAGGCTGCTTCAATGAAGGCAGTGTTAATTACCACTGTTCTGTACCATCATCTGCCTTCCTACCAGGCCGAACACCCATTCCACAGGCTCCTGTGGGGCAGGAAGATTCTCGTGTCCTCATGTCAGAGCCCAGGACTCTGCAGGCTGCTCTTCCCAGCCAGGACAATACTGGGGTTTCTGCATCTAGCGGGGGGCACAGGGGGCTGGGGAACACCACAGACAGCTGCTTGTGCTGGAAGCAGCTTATTTATAACAGCACATTGGCATCTCTCTGCAGCCTTCTTGCACTTTTTTATTCCTTCCTTCTTAAAGCTTCCTTCAGCCCATGGACTTTTTGAAAGAAACTTTAAAAACAGTGTGGGCCGTTCTGGAGAGCAAAGGGAGTGTGGGATCTTGGCAGCTTTCTGTGGGCACACCTCTGACCCAAACATCCCAAGGGACCACGAATCCTGCACTTCCCAGACATTTCAGGGGTTGGAATCTGTACTCACACTCGGCTGCTTTCAGATTCTGGTTTGTTGGCTTTCCATTCCCATTCACTGGAGCTTTTTACCTCAAGGATGGATAAGCCTTTGGGGCAAGAAAGTAGACAATAGCAGTTCTTATGTTTCTTCTCCTTGGTTCTGTTTGCACTTTGTTAACGTTCACACAGGCTTCATATACAAGCTAAGTGGAACCATTCCTAGTTTCATATGTAAATTATAATTTCATTTATAGTTTCATATATAAGCTAAATAGGACCCTGTGGGTTTCAAATCAGGTTTTAACAGCAAAGCACAATCACAGCACATCCTGGAAGTATTGCACGTTCAAAGTGCGGCACATGCATTTACTAACTAATCTCTGACTAATCTCTAAGAGATTTCCAGTTTATTAGCCCCTTTCTCCATGAGCTAATGCATGTTCAGCCTTTTGAAGCATTCAGCCTACTAAGAACAATTATATGTGTCTCCATAATGAACAGGGGACATAAAGAATTAATAAATAATTAGTAAATATCATTAAGGAGTGGGATGAGGCGGGCAGGAGCGCGCTTTACTCCTGAGGGCCAGGACTACACGTCCCGTCAGCCCCCGCGCTCTTCAGGGGGCCGGACTACAGCGCCCATGCGCCTTCACGGAGCAGGACTACAGTTCCTATGAGCCCTCACGGAACAGGACTACCGTTCCCATGAGCCCCCGCGGCCCCGCCCTCCCCGCGTTTTCTGAGGCAGCATGGCGCCGGAGTGGTGTGTGGTGAGTGGGCCCGGCCGTCATCGGCCGCCATCTGCGGGCACGGCGGCCTCGAGGGGCGCGGGGACAGCGGGACGGTGTGCGGGGAACTCCCGTACGCTGCCGAACCGCCCGTAGGGCTGCATGGGAGGGCGAGATACTGTCCCTTCCCCCCGCCATGGTGGATGGGGAGAGCAAGGCCGGGGGCTCTGTCCCGCGAGCTCCGGCCCGGCCGTGACGGGGCTGCGCCGGGACCCGCGGGCGATGCTCAGCGTTTTATGGGCAGCGGGTGCGGCTCAGGCGGGGCGCTGCTGTCGGAGCTGTGTCCCAGCACCCCGAGGTGGGGGTTCAGCGGGCCGAGACCCCGCGCACGGTGGGGCCGAGGAGCCGCGTGTACCCGCAGGCGTCGGTGCTACGCCGGTGAGGAGCGTGACAGGCACCAGGGCAAGGACAGATTTGAGATTTAGGGTGGTCCTCCACTCTTTAGCTGATCCGGAAGCTGAGCTAGTGATGATAAAAGTTATCCCTGTCTGAATTTGATCTTTCCTCTGTGGAAACATAACTCTGAGGCTCAGTGTTAGAGACACAAAGGTAAAGGGATGATTTGTTACCCGAATTAACTCTGTCCCCTTTCTCGGTTTCAGAGCATGACACCGTGTCAAGAAGGGGTAAAAACACTCCCCTGGCTGGGGAGCTGATTTACCCACAGTGCCCCTGCACGATGGTGAGAAACAGCTGCATCTGTCTTGGCATAGTCTGGGGTTTTTTCTCCTCCTGGGCGATTATGGAAGAAGGACTTGCTTTGCTGTCTCAAATGATACCCTCCCGCATCCCTGGAGCTCCTGGGAGGAGATATAAAACCCCAACGGCTTGATGAATGTAATTAAACCAATCAAGGCTGTAGCTTTGTCACAGTTGCCACCTGACTGCGCTGCCCTTTGCTGCCACAGAGCACAAGCTGAAAAGCAGCGTGGCAGAGCACCTGCTTGTCAGCATGGTCAAAGATGAGCCAGAGTAGAAGGATTAGAGGTAGGAGGGATTGGGTGACAGCCCATTATGGAGACACTTGACACAGCTCATCTCATAACTGTATCTGTCACAGAAATACACCTAGTGACAGAATAATCGCCCTCTTTGCCTACCTGGAGGTGCTCTGGGACAGTTTCAAACTTGTATCAGGTTGCTGGGGGTGGGGAGGTGCAGCTCACCTGCCCCAAAGGGTCATCCTGTGAAGGACATGCCCTGAGGAATCCATCACCTGAGGGGATGTGGCTGTCCTAGGTCTGATAAATGCATTTCTTAAGATAAACCCATAGACAGATTACACCATGGATGGATGGGTTATTCTTGTGTGCAGCGAACAGGTTGGATTGGGAGGTTTCTAGAAGATGAGGAGGAGAATGTCAGATTTAACAGCTTAAAAGGGTCCAAACCACCAACGTCTTAGAGCTGGTGGAGTTTTTCCCTAAGCAAGGATTTTAATAGCATCCACCTCCCAAAGTTTCTTGTCTGTGAATGAGACAGCCCCCTGGCAAACATGCTCCTCTGTGTCTTGAGGGACAGGTTTCTCTCTGCTAAGTTTGTGAGACAAAAGTTGCCTGTCTTTGAATGGAGAATTTCTGTCTAATTCTTGCTCTGTGATCCAGTGCTGGAGATCTCTGGGGGAAAAGATAAGGAAAAGAGGACTTCTCTTTTAAACTTTATTTAAAGTACTTTTGCTAACATTGTTCATTGCAACTTGTATTTAGGAGGAAATGGTCCTGCAGGATCCTGGGGCTGCTGTTGCCCAAAGACAGCTTTGGCCAGAGGACAGCTGCTATGTTTGGCTTCAGGCTGGTAAGAGAATTGAATTCTTCAATATTGTGTGTTGTTCGTTTTTAAATCATTAATTATATGCCAGGCCTGTGGGCACATTGAATCAGAGCCTAATCTCTGAAGGTTTACCAGGAAAAACCCCAGGGAGAACAGCTGGGTATCTGTACTGTGTGTGGTTTTGGGTAACATGAGGGGCTTGTGTAGCCATGGGTGGGACAGACACTGAGCCTGTGATGTGCTGTTATCCCTGTCTGACACTCAGCTTGAGGAGGAAAGTGTCCACTGAGGCTCAGGTACTTCCTTTAGTGGGTCCCCTGCCCCTTGCAAAGGGTGCACAGGTGTGAGTGTGACAGAATCTGTCCCCTGTCCTGCCACCCTGTGCCGTGTGACAACAGCCAGGAGCAGTCCCAGGCACAGAGCTGAGCAGAGCTGCCGTTGTCATAGCACAGTTTAGAGCTGCAAAGAGCTTTCAAGTTCCTTGTGCAAATAGTGACAGGTTGAAGGGCAGATAAGAAATGCATTTTTTATCTTGCCTGATGTACAGTCACTGAACACACAGGCTGGAACAACACTTTGTCTTGGGCAGCTGACAGCTGCCTTCTTCTAAATGATTTTATGCTTTATTGAACAGAATTTGGCTTTGTTTGCAGAAGGTCAATAACTTCTGACAGGCTGCCCAGCAGAGCTGATGACAGGGAGTGTCGTCAGGAGTCAGGGTTGGTTTGTGAAAGGGGAGGGAATGGTACCACAAATCAGGGACATTGCGTGTTCTGACAGCACAGCTGTCTCCCAGGCACTGGGGACAAACACCTGGAGCTTTTGGCTTCCAGGATGTAACAGGGAAAATGAAGTGGAGAGGCAGCCTGATGATAAATGGGAAAAGTAAAAGCTGCTCAGTGCTTTGAGACCAGACAGGTAGGAATTGTTTCAGAATGTTTTAGGAAAACCGTTACAGTCTTGGTTTGTGGTTTCTCACAGATCCAGAAGATTGCTCTGGACTGAGTGTCACAAATGACTGCTGAGATGTGAAATGGCTGCCTGTGTGTAGCCACAGGCTCCTCCTCATTGCTCAGTCATTGCTGCAGCCACACCATGGGTAAGGGACCGCTAAAACCAAAAAGAATTTGAGTACTAGTGCCATTGGCCTGGGTGGGAGCAACGTTTTGTCTGCTGAGACCTGTACTCCAAATTAAATAGTGTAAATCAGAAACTTTGCAGCTGCTCTGATACTGTCGTTTTTTGATTTTTTTTTTCACCAGGACCTGATCTACAGTTGCCTGGAGGAAAAAGTGGTTCCCTGCTTTCTTCTGTTCCAGAATAAAATAAGTTGTGGAAGATCTTAAAAAGTCGAAGTTGGGTTTTATTTGGCTATCTCTATAAAGGCTGGGGTCCATGCTCTTGAAGGTATTTTCCAACTGTAATGCTTCTGCTTCTTCTTGAACAGAAATGGTTTGGTGCAGGTAGGAAGGATTTTGGATTAAAACCCTTCCTGAAATGGCAGTTGTGAGCTTACCCTTCATAGCAAACCTGATAACACAAAGACTTGAGTGTCTGCAGATTCTGTCCCCAAAGCAGTTCATGGGAACAGTGTGACAAAACAACTTCTGGCTAAGGTCTGGTGCCAAATGGTTCTTGTGGTGCACGTTGTGGTTCCCGGTGTTCAGTTCTGATGGGGTGCCTGTGAGCTGGATGACTCCAGGCAGGATTACAGCACCATCCTGCTCATCTTGTCCTGAGTGTGACACTGCTGCTGCTGTCACCTGAGGCTTGGCCAGAGCTGGTTTGAGGAGGTTTCAGAGTGTCTTGGCCAGGGGATGCGAGGATCAGGCTCATTCCTGTCACTAAAGGTTTTGCTGAGTGTTTGGGAACACAAAACAGGCCTGACAGGCTGGTGTGGTACCAGTGTAAGGTGGCTCTGATGGGAACAAAGGTTAATTTGAAACGTGGGAACACAAGATGGGCCCCAAGCTAGAGATTACATCTGGAACAGGCTTGGAGCCTAACTTGCGTCTGTGAACCGGCTGGAAGCAGCCTGCTGGGAGCTTCAGGGGCTTTGGAGGTTCCCTGGCTCAGGGCCAAGCTATCTTTTGCCATCTCTGTACATCAACCTCATACAGCAAATAGCATTCCAAGTGGAAAAGGGCTGTGCTCATTGCTAGCAGGTCTCCCAGTCTGAGTCTCCATGATTTAAACAGCTTTCCATCCCCATCTGCTTCTGGAGCTGTTCCCAGTTGAAGTCTATTCCCTGTTACTGATCCTCTGCTGTAGGAGGTAAAGGGGGAGGTCTCACCCCACCCAGTTCATCAAAACAACAGAAACAGGTGTTAAGGAAAACAATCATTCAACATTTATGTAATTACACAAAGTGGGAAAGTGTCTTGGATTACACTGCTCTGTCCCCAGCCCCCAGCAGCTGGAGAAGCCTCCCCAGGTGGGTCTCCCTGAGCAGTGCTGGTGTATGAGGGACAGCTGAAGGGTTCAGGACCCTCCCCTCCCCTGGGGTTTGGGGAAGGAAATTAAGAGTTACCATCACTGACCCACCTGTGTGGGGCTGCCTCTCAGAGGGCACCAGAGCCCCTGTGGAAAGCTGACAACCCCAGTGTCCCACACATGGCTGAGGCCTGAGGCCAGTGTCACCTCTGGGCTGCTCAGGGCCTGGGCGTGTTCCTGGTGTCCTGGCTGAGCTGCCGTGACCCTCGTAGCTGATGGCTTGTGAGCCTTGTCAGAAAACACCAGAGCTCAAGAAGGGGACAGTGACAGGGCCACTGTGTCTGCCCTGCTGTCTGTGCCACTGGCCAGGGAGGCAGATAGATCTGGAACATGGCACACACCCACTGGCTGCAGCTGGGACTTGCTGCAGTCCTTCTAGAGGGCTCCTGTCACCTGGTCTCCAGTGCAAGGATTTATCCCTCCTGCTGTGGTCCCACCATGGTGATGAGCATTTAAGGTGAAGGGCATTTTCCAGTACCTCCAGCATCCTCTTCCAGCACCACCCTGGCCCTGCTGTGCTCCACAGGGGCCATGCTGCCCCATAGCCATGTTCCTGGGGCTGGCAGGGCACAGCCACGTGCTGTGGTGCTTCTGGCTGCCCCAAAGGCCACGTTCAATCACACTGATCCCTGAGGAAATGCAACATTCCTCCACCAGCTTCAGATTCCCCATTATCCTCACATCACTGCTGGCTGTGGTGCAGCAAGTCTGCTCCGTGGGCTGCCTGGCCAGCTGGGAAGAGCCCTCAGGAGAGAGAAGGTGACCCTCAGGAAAAAGGAGAAGAGCCACAAGTGTCCTTGGACCTGCCCCTGTGAGTGACCTCCCGGCCTCAGCGCTGGTAGAGGGTGATGATCCCTGCACGGTGCAGGCTCCTCCACAGCGCTGCCTCCAGCATCATGTCATGGTTGGCATAAAACACCAGAGGTTTCTTCTCCACCTCGTAGTAGTGGTCTGAGAACTGCTCATAGTTGGCCGTGATGAACCCGTAGGCGCTGACCTGTGGGGAATGAGGCGAGGCAGACAGGACAGGGTCAAGGCTTCACCTGGGGTGTTCCATCACCACCATCACTCCCTTCAGGGACAGGGGACACGTAGGACAACCACCAGGATACACTGGAACCCCACAGCAGCCAAAGGGGGGATTCCCTTCTCCCCAGGGACCGGTGGCCCTGTGGCCCCATACCTGGTCGCAGGTGTGGAGCGCGGTGAGGAGCATGAGGGCGCCGGTGCTGGGCATGTAGAGGGAGCTGTACTGGGTGTTCAGGATCTCTGACCGCAGGAACCTGACGGGGACACGGTGCCTGTGGGGCTCAGGGCTGGCACAGCCCTGCACCCCCAGACCCACACACACCCAGCCCTCCCCAGTGACGCCGGTGCCCAGTAAGGCAGGAGCACTGAGGGAAACACGGGGCTCAGGTGGGTTCTCTGATGGCTGCTCTCATTTGTTCAGAGGTTGGCTCTGCTGTTTGGAGCCACCCCAACCCAGGCACCTGCCTTCATGAAAGGCAGGAAAAGACCATCCTGTTGGGCCCTGCCTTTGCTCCTGTTAGACTGGGACAAAATGTAATTTGTTTTGGGGAGTGGGAGCAAGGTGAGCACAGGGAGGAATAGGAGGGGATGTGAGCTGTGCTGCAGTGAGCAGGAGTGGCAGGGGAGAGACACCTCTGCCTTGTGTGCAGACAGCAGGGCAGGGGTGGTTCCAGTGTCTGGAGGAGACTGGGACTGTACTTTGATGCTGGGCTGCTACTGGTCTGTACTGGAATGAGCAGAGGGGGAGGGAGGCAGTCTGAGCCCATCCCAGAGCAGAGCCAGAGAGCAGCCACAGTGCTCATCACCCTCACCTTGCTGTCAGGTACTGCAAGAAATCAGGATGCAGCAGCTTGAACTTCTCTGCAGATGCCTCTGGTCCAAAATACTTCTGTGGCCTGCAGCAAGGCAAGGAGAAGAGCAGAACTTTGTCATGGGAGTCCTGGAGCTCTTTGGGGTTTATCCCAGTAGGGATAGATGTGGGGTGAGGACAGGTGAGTCATGCCTCAGGTGTGCTGGGGAAATCTTGGGGAGCTACTCACTCGTCCCCCTTGTCTGAGCCCTCGGGCACTGGGCTGCCCTGGATGGCTGATTTCAGCATGACGTAGTCACGGACATCCGAGGGGATGAAGATGTACTTCAGGTCCTGCAGCAGGGACACAGACAGGGCACTTGGAGGGGGTTTTAATGACACTGCCCATGCTTGCAGGCAAGGACTGAGGGCTCCCAAGATGAGGAGGTCTCAGAAGCAAGCCCAGCCTGAAGGGACAATTTCATTCAACCCCCCCAACAAGTCCTCAGGGCGTCACCTTGCCCTGGGGAATTTGGGTGAAGCCATATTCCTCGTAGGAGATGAGGGAGTTCTTCATGGTGTTCACCGTGAAGCCGTAGAAGGAAACCTTGGTGCCAACATCCTCCTCGAAGCCTTTGATCACGGCACCGTTGAGCCTGCAGGAAAAGCAGAGAACACATGTCCAGGGCTGGCATCTCCCAGCACCCCTGGCCCTACCCTGCCTGGGATTCGTCCTCACCTGAAGACCAGGTCGTGGCTGTCAATGGCCTTGCCCTGCCGCGAGCCGTTGAGGATGCCACCGTTGCCCACCACGGCACAGCGGACACAGCCCCCGGAGAAGGCGGCCCTGTCGAAGAGGTGCCGGTTGGCCGAGGTGTTGAGGAGCCGGAGGGTGCTGCCCACCACTGGAATGGAGCAGGATGTGACCAGTCAGCAGGGAAAAGGTGCCTGTCAACCCACGTGCAGCAGCACGCACAGAGCTGGCACAGCCAGGAGCAGCACACAAAAAAACAAACTCACACCAGCCCTGTGCAGGAGAGAGGTCTGGGGGATATGGGGGCACCAGACAGGCCCTCCTCTCCCAGCCTGGTGTCACCAATCTCTCCATGTTCCTAACCCTGCTACAAACAGCGGCCACCCAAGGCTGTGCAAGGCACAGGGATGCATCCAGGTATCTCCAGCCCCAGCCCTGCAGATGCTGCTGCCTGTGCTGGCCACATCCCCTCCTGACAATGTCTCAGCAACTGCTGGTTCTCTCTTGCTCGCTGTTCCCAGCACTTCCCAGCCCAGGGATTGAAGCCGGCAGCTGCCAGGGACAACAGAGAGTGGGTTTGGGGTGGGAAGGGAAACAATCTCCATGCACAACAATGGAGCTGGTTGTCCGAGCTCCTCCGGCCCCAGTTAATAATCATGGACACACTGGAGCTTTTATTCAGGGAAAATGTCACAAGATGCATCAAGAGGCGTTTGCAAAGCTGCACCCTCCCTGTGCCCTGGGAGGTGGGGTGGGAAGAGATCAGCGTTCCTGGCTCCTCTGCAGAGCTCCTTGCCTGTCCCACATCTCCAGTCCCTTCTACTGAGCTCCCCAGTCCCCTCAAGCTGCCCCACATCCCAGCTGGGTCTGTACCTGCGACGGACAAGCCTTGCCAGCCGTAGGGGACGTGTCGTGCCTTCAGCCTGTTCCAGGTCTCCAGGGTGAAGTGCTGGTCCCACATCAGCACGGGGGTGTTGAAGCGGAAGATTTCCCGAAACTTGGGGTCTGCCTTTGCTCTGGCCATCACTGAGTGGAGGCAGGGGCTGGGCTGGGAGGGAGGAAGGAGGAAGGAGGATCCCTGCTCAATTTCCAGCAGGGATCTGCCTTCCCTGTGACACCTCCACCCCTCAACAGGCACCAAGGTGAGAACAAACCCACGGACAGAAATGTTCCTTGTCCATCACATTCTGCTGGGTCACCCAGGCAGGGCACGGCCTCATACTTTGGTTTTGTGCTGCAAAACAGCCTTTGGCACCCGGCTCAGTGGGGCTGGGAGAACCAGG